TGTTCGCAATAGCAAGAACCTGGAAGCAACCATGCTGCCCATCAAAAGAGGACTGGATTAAAAAAAATGTGATACATATACACTATGGAATACTACGTAGCCATAAAAAAGAACAAAATCATGAATTTCGCAGCAACCTGGATGGAACTAGAGTCTATAATACTGAGTGACCTCTCACAGAAACAAAGATTCGAGTATCACATGTTCTCACTCATATAATGAACTTTGAACATCCAATGTAATACTATAAGAAAATGACTGACGGTACTGGGAAACTATGGGGGGGGGGATGGGATTAACAGTAGCAAATATCTGTCTTGGGACAGGGAAACCCCTCTTATCAACAGGGTGCCTGAATGAAACGTAATTGTATACCTAACCCTTAACTGTACCCCACAACATCATAATAAAAAATAATGATAAAACAAAAAATTTTAAATTTCTGTGTGCAATCCCAGCTACTCAGGAGGCTGAGGCAGAAAAATCACCTGAACCCAGGAGACCGAGCCTGCAGTGAACCATGATCATGCTGCTGCACTCCAGCCTGGCCAACAGAGACTCCAATTCAAAATAAATGTTCCCAAATTCCAGTAAATATGGACATCTGCACAAGGTCTTTTCCTGGCACTCGATTCATAGAACCAACAACTGAAAGCAAAATTAATCCTTAATGAAAGCAAAGCTGAAAAATGATGATTCAGCCACACCATGAAATATTGCACACTTACTAAAAAGTATAACTTACAGTCAGTCCAGTTAAGACACAGGAATTTTTGCAAAATATTATTGAGGGAAGTAAAATACAGTAGTATGCATAGCCATTTTTATACAACAAAGATAAAAAGATGTTACATATGCGCACGTGTTTATGCTACGTTCATGTGTGAGTATATGTGTGTATCTAGCTATATGAGTACAAAGAACATGAACTGAGACCCACTGGAACTGCTGCGTGTCCCTGGCTGGGCTGATGAAAGAAGGGTAAGATGGGAAAAGAAAGGCAGACAGAAATCCTACAGTATAAAGGGAGAAGGAATGCATTTAAGAGTGTATTTACACTTTTTCTGCCTATTCCCCACTCCCTGCAGAGCTTCTATGGCTGCTCCATGCTCACGTGGAGCTCGGGGCTCTTGCTAAGTTAGTGATTATCTACCCGGATAATCAACTACCATCTCAGCCACGATGAGATGTTCTCCAACATTTACAAGAACCGAAAGGTGGAGGGGAAGATGGTCGGTAGGACAGAGGGTAATATTGATGCCTCAGCTGAAGGCCCTGAGGGCAAAGGTACAAAAAGCACAGTAATTACTGGTATTGATATTGTCATGAACCATCACCTGCAGGAAACCAGCTTTGCAAAAGTAGCCTATAAGAAGTACATCAAAGACTACATGAAATCAGTCAAAGGCAAACTTGAAGAACAGAAACCAGAACGAGTAAAACCTTTTATGACAGGGGCTGCAGAACAAATCAAGCATGTCACTTGCTAATTTTAAAAACTACCAGTTATTTATTGGTGAAAGCATGAATCCAGATGGCATGGTTGCTCTACTGGACTACCATGAGGATGGTGTGACCCCATATATAATTTTAAGGATGGTTAGAGATGGAAACTTATTAACAAATTTGGCAATTACTTTGGATCTATCACCTGTCATCATAACTGGCTGCTGCTTGTCATCCACACAACACCAGGATGTAAGACAAATGGGACTGATGTCATCTTGAACTTCATTTATTTTGACTGTGATTTATTTGGAGTGGAGGCATTGCTTTTCAAGAAAAATTTGTCATGGAGGTTGTCTAAAAAAGAATATATCTACCTAAAATTACACATATTTTCTGTATGAAGAAATTAAATACAACCATGTTAAACACAGGAAGAAGGGAAAGATGGAGTAGGGGAAGGAAGGGACCTTAGACACCAGACTCACCAACCATTGTACTCAGGAGGCAGAGGTACACAGGGACAGCCAGGGGCCTCTCATCACATGTGTTGCTGAGCCAGGGCCTGGCCTGTTCATGGGGTCAGGTGCCTGAGAACCCTGACGTCTGATGTGGAAGGAGCTAACAGTCGTGGGCATGGCCCAGACGTGTGTCTGGGATCTGAGGGCTCTGGGGTCTCTGTGGGCTGCAACCCACCAGCTGGCCTGTGCTGGGCTGTTCTGTCCTGGCAGTGAGGACAGTGCCTGCATGAAGACGCCGGCCTGGGGAGCCATGGGCTTAACCAGGGATGCGGTTGGGTGGGTGGAGAGTGGGCGCCAACTCTAGGGCCACAGGGCACGGAGACCCGGGCATCCAGGGACTAGAAGGAGGAAATCAAGCTTGCATTACCGAGCAAGCTTTATAAAAACACTCATCCACAAGAGCGTGTCGCCAGGAGGCCCTATACATGGGCTACAGGGAGGACGTGGGTAGGAGCGCATGTGGCACCCCCCACGGGACAGTGAGGTGGCTGGCACCCTGGGGGACCTGGCAGACCATATTCTGCTCCCAACTCCACCACCTTCAAGGTGTGTCAGTGATGGGAGGGGCAGCAGAGGAGAGGGACAGGGCCACAGGTAGCGCTCACCTCTACCCTGTGAACTTCTGTATCGTATGTGCAAAACCATGTTAGAACACATGCCATAAAGTGTCATTAATGTTTAACTTTGCAGCTAAAATAGTAGGCCATAATTATAATCATAATTAAGGTATGACAAAATTTTAATCTGCCTTTTAGCAATCTCAGGAAGGCTAGAAATACTCACCTAAAATTACTGTGCCACAAATCCAGCACAGCCAGCATTGTGGGGTTCATGGCGTTCAAGTGATCCCGAATGTAACTGCTCGCAGCCAAAAAAGATTTCCTCCAAGGTTTTGGGAGAATTTCCATTCTGAAATCAAAGAAAATATTTAGTTATTTTCTTTTTAAATTAAAATTAAGCATTTTCATAGTAAATGTACTTTTTGAGAATTAATGATTTAATTCTAATAAAATATGTATCCATCATAGTAATAGCAAAACACGCACTTAAAATATAAGATGATCTTTTAAAATATATAAAGGTCATCTGTTTTATGGTCTAGTATAACTTCATCATAAGAATTAATGATTAAAGATTAATTAATAGATTTAAATCTTAAACACATAAGGTGATTAATTTTTATCTCCAAATACTGGATCCTACTGAGTCTGCAAATAACCCATAATAACCAAGTGGATACACTAGCCAACTATCTTTCCTGTACACCTATAAAGATTATCTGTTAACTTTACGACACACATTCACACTTTCCCTTTATTTATTTTTTGATTTTTTCTTTATATTTTAATACTTTTAAAGACATAGTCCAGCCTGCCTGTAGAAATCCCCTTGAACTTTACCCTCTATTAATGTGTAAAGGTCATCTATAAATCACAAACACCTCATAACATTCTTATATGAAGGCACATATATGAGCCCTGAACAACACGGGTTTGAACTGTATGGGTCCACTTGCCTGCGGAGTCTCTTCCTTCTCCGCCACCCCTGACACAGCAAGACCAATCCCTCCTCTCCTTCTCCTCCCCCACCTACTCAAATGAAGGCGTCAAACATGATCTACTTCTACTTAATGAAAAGTAAATATATTTCATCTTCCTTATGACTTTCTTAAAAACATTTTCTTTTCTCTAGCTTACTTTGTTACTTTATTGTAAGAATACAGTATATATTACATATAATAAACAAAATATGTGATAATCAACTGTTTATGATATTGGTAAATCTTCTGGTCAACAGTAGGCTATAGGTAGCTAAGTATGGGGGACCAATGCCCTAACCCCTGCATAGTTCAAGGCTCAATTGTATTCTGGGACTGTTTAAGAGATTTGTTTATAATTTTTTTTTAGGAAAAACATGTAGCAAGTAGGTTTTCCCACTAAGTGTTCTGTATTTTAATCTCTGCAATAAGTTAAAATGCACTCTGTATACGGTCTTCTGCAATGCTTCCAATGTGTTTTTATGCAAATTGCCATCAAGCTCTTATACTTTCATACATCTGAGGCCTGCGTTAGTAGCTGTCCAGATACAAATACCTTTATATCAAATTATTTCTACTAGAGTACTTATGTTTTAACCACCTACATGTCCATCTGTCCATTTGTCTATCCATCTATTCATCAATTTATAAATGTAACATGTCAGAGCTTAAATACCTAAATAAATAAGGATCATAAAAACAATCAGTTGTATATAGGCAAACCACAGAGATACTGCAGGTTTGCTTCCAGACCACCCCAACAAAGCAAAAATCACAATAAATTGAGTCACAAATTTTTGGTTTCCCAGTGCAAATAAAAGTGATGTTTACACTATACTGTTGTCTGTTACGAGTGTAATGGCACTAAATTTAAAAAACAACATACAAACCTTATTTCTAATATACTTTATCTGGCTGGATGAGGTGGCTTAAGCCTGTAATCCCAGCACTTTGGGAAGCCAAGGCTGGAGAACTGCTTGAGCCTAGGAGTTCAAGACCAGCCTGAGCAACACAGTGAGGCCTTGCCTCTGCAAAAAATACAAAAATTAGCCGGGAGTGGTGGCATGTGCCTGTAGTCCCAGCTACTTGGGGGGCTGAGGCGAGAGGATTGCTTGAACTCAGGAAGTCAAAGCTGCAGTAAGCCAGGATTGTACCATTGTCCTCCAGCCTGGGCGACAGAGTTAAAATATATATTGATCCTGTTAAAATATATATATAATTCCTCATCCATTCAAGTTTTATCATGCTATCCCAGCAATTCAGTCATATCATCAGGTTCCACTTCTAACTCTAGTTCTCTTGCTATTTCCATCACATCTGTATTTCTTCCACATTAGTCTTAAACCCCTCAAAGTCACCCAGGAGGGTTGGAATCAACTTCTGCCAAACTCGTTAATACTGATATTTTTACCACTTCCCATGAATCACTAATGTTCTTAACGGCATCTAGAACAATGAATCCTTCCTGGAAGCTTTTCAATTTACTTTGTTGAGATCCATCAGAGAATCATATCTATGGAAGCTGTAACCTTACAAAATGTGTTTCCTAAAAAACTTGAAAGTCAAAATTTATTCTTGATCCATGGGCTGCAGAATGGATACTGTGTCAGCAGAAAGGAAGACAATATCGATCACCTCATAAATTTCTATCAGAGCTCTTGGGTACACTGTCAATGAGCAGTAATATTTTGAAAGGAACTTTTTTTTTCTGAGCAGTAGGTCTCAACAGTGGGTTTAACATATTTAGCAAACCATGTTGTAAATAGATGTGCTGTCATTCAGGATTTATTGTTCTATTTATAGAGCACAAGCAAAGTTGGTTTAGTAAAATTCTTAAGGGCCCGAGAATTTTCAAAATGGTAAATGTGCATTGGCTTTGACTTAAAGTCACCAGCTGCATTAACCCCTAACAAGAGAGTCAACCTGTCCTTTGAGACTTTGAAACACAGTATTGACTTCTCCTCTCCAGCTATGAAGTCCAAGATGGTGGTATTTTCATAAAAGACTATTCATCTACACTGAAAATATGTTGTTTAATGTAAGCACCTTCATCATAATAAACTTAGCGAGATCTTTTGGAAAACTTGCTGCAGCTTTTCCATCAGCACCTGCAGCTTCATCTTGCATTTTTACAATATAGAGATGGCTTCTTTCCTTAAACCTCATGAATCTAATCTCTTCAACCTTGTGAATCTAATCTCTGCTAGCCTCAGATTTTACTTCTGCAACTTCTTCATTTCTCTTAGGCTTCACAAAATTGGTAAGAGTTAGGACCTTGCTCTGGATTGGGCTTTGGCTTAAAAGAATGTTGTGGCTGGTTGGATCTTCTATCTGGACCACTCAGACTTTCTACATATCAGCAGTAAGATTGTTTTGCATTTTTATCACTCCTGTGTTCACTGGAGTAGCACTTTAAATTTCCTTCAAGAGTTTTTTGTTTGCATCCACAACTTGGCATCTGTTTGGCACATGAGGTCTAGCTTTCAGTCTATCTCAGCTTTTGACGTGCCTTTCTCACTAAGCTTAATCATTTCTAGTTTTTGATTTAAAGTGAGAGTCATGCAACTCACTTAGAGGACCTTGTATGGGTATTAATTGACCTTTTCAATATTGTTCTGTCTAGAGAATAGGGGCACAAGAGAAGAGGGAGAGAGCCAGGGAATGACTGGTTGGTGGAACAGTTAGGTCACACACACTTATCGATATCAGTTTGCTATCTTAAACGGGCACAATTTGTGACTCCTCAAGACACTTACAATACATAGTAATGTCAAAGATAAGTGACATATAATAATAACTAAACAAGCTGGAAATATGGTGAGATTATCAAAATTTACACAAACACACAAAGTGAGCACATGCTTTTGGAAAAAAATGGCGCCTATAGGCCTGATTGACATAGAGTTGCCACAAACCTTCTATTAGCAAAAAATGTGGTATATGCAAAGCAAAATGCAATAAAATGAGGCATGCCTGTAGGTGGGATATATACATACACAAATACACATTTATTTTTATATAAATTATAAACATATGTATAAGAGAATGTAATTGGTGTATAAATATATAAACATATACAGAAATGGACATATAATCAATATTCTTAGAGAATTAGACTGCTTACTCAGCACGATGGGGTGGAAGTTCATCTGTTTTCTTATCATCTTCCTTTTCTCTCGGATCTTTTAAAACAAAATCAACTAAAAGAAAATGTAAAAATTCTACTAAATAATCTCATATTAATTATAGCATATTTCCAAGTAATTACAAACTAATTCCATTAAAATTAATTGCTTAAAATGTGTCAAAAAGTATTTAATAATGAGAAATTTGTGCATCTATGAATAGAAGAAAACTGAAAAATTTTATGAGAAAATGTATCATGTTGGCATCTTTAACAATACATGCTCCATTTCTTAATAATGTGTCCTTCCTCTTTCTTTTGAAAAGGATAATTGCATTTAACGTTACATTTTCCTTTATAGCTATTTCACAAAAACTGTTTTTGTTGAACTGAAGGTCAACAATACAGGGTGGTGGCAGTTTTCTTTATATGAAGAAAGGCACACACAGTCAGTCCTCTGTATCTGCAGGTTCTGCACCCACAGATCCAACCAGCCACGGATTGGAAATACTCAGAAAAAAATAGCAAACAACACAACAACAAAATACAAATAAAAAAGCAACATAGTGTAACAACTATTTACATAGCATTTAATTACATCAGGTAGTATAAATAATGTAAAGATTATTTAAAGTATACAAAAGGATATACATAGATTATAAGACAATATTATACCATTTTATGTGAGGACTTGAACATCTGTGGATTTTGGTATTTTTTGGTCACAGTGCCCCGGAACTGACCCCCTGCTGATACCAAGGGACAACTATATTGTCTCTTTCTAAGTTACATAAGAGCATAAAACAATCTTGTGGACAATCAGTAAAATAAGCTATCTCTGTTTCTGTCTTCTGTGGTCTTAAATTTACAATTAATTCTAATTCCCCTTTTTGTCTTTCAAGATGCTCTTTCTAAAATGCAAATAGTATGTTCTTACCACCTTGCTTAATATCCCTCAGAGACTTTCATTTACTTTCAAATGGGTGAAGAAGGCAAGAAGTCCCTTCAGATTCTGTCTCCTTCTGCAAATACAACCTGTACTCTGACCATCAGAACTGCCTACAAGACCAGAAGGCCTTTCATGCATGTCTGCCATCATTCATGCCACCTCTCAGTCCACACAGTTTCCTTGGTAAGTTGCTCCTCGTCCTTCAAGGCTCATTTTAGTGCCTCCAGAGTTCTTCCCACCAAGTTAGGGTGACTCTTCTCCCTTATGGTGTCTTGTTTCCCTCCTCACTGCACTCACTGCTTTGCTTTATAATTTAGGAATTTGTCCATCCCCCTCATTAGACTACTAGCTTCTCAAGGACAAGGATTTGGCTCTTTGTTTTATATTACCAAGATACCCAACAGAAGTCATAAGTGCAATGAATACCCTTCCAGAATGGTCCCCACATCACTATAAATCATTTTTATTTCTGCAACTTTGAACACAGCATCCATTATACCAGGTTTACTATCACAACCAATTGCAGAGCCTTTTTTGAAAGTACAGATTCCAAAGCCCTGCCTCTAGGAATTTTAATTCAGGTGGGGCCAGAAATCGGTATTTGAAAAATGGTTCTGATAATCAGTCAACCTTAGGATCTATTAGTTTGTACCACGGTTCAACAAACTTTTCATGTAAAGGGTCGGATTGCAACTATTTTTGACTTTGTGAGCAACAACGTCTCTGTCACAACTACTCAGCTCTGCTCTTGTAGCTGAAAAGCAGGACAGACAATATACAAATGAACAAGAGTCACTGTGTCCCAGTAAAACTTTATTTAAAAACCAACAGTGGGGGCAACCCCTTCAGGTCCCCTCCCACTGTGGGAGCTTCTCTGTTCTCTCAGTAAATCCTGCTTTCGCACTTTCTGGCTGCCCGTGCCCCTCATTCTTCCAGGGTATGAGACAAGAACCTTGACCCCGAAGAGCTGAGACCTGAAGAGCTGCAGAAGATCGTTGGAGCCAGCTCAACCAGGAGAGCTGCTGGGGGAGGGTGAGATTTGAAACTGAGGCATCTCAGGGACTGGGCTTGCTGGCCCACCATACCAGCAGCATTCTTAGGGCTTGACTTGCCAGTCCATTAGAACCAACATTCTGGGGGCTGGGCTTGCCAGTCCAATAAATCGCAACACTCTCAGGGCTTGGTTTGCCAGCCCATTGGAGCTGACACTTCCAGGGCTAGGCTTATCAGCCCCTTGACTACCCTTCTCTGGGGCTTGACTGGCCGACCCATCGAGCTGACAATATTGAAGCCCAGGCTGACCTGAATAATCCGCATCAGTTTTGGTGCCCAAACATGGGGCTCGAAGGAAGGAGGTCATCAAACTCCAAATGGCGATGCTGATGGAACATTATATGGAAGTTTCTTTCTACCGAGGACTGTTAGGTCACCCTCCGGAGGATCCCTGTTGCTGCCCCCTTATGACGCCCATGATCAGCAGGAAGTAACCAGACTGGTCATAGATTATCATCTTACTACTTCACAGGGGGTAATTAGACAGGAGATAGCTAGAGACAGACTAGGCAAACAGACAGGCAGGTCCTCTGGTAACAATGTAGCAAATTCCCGGGCAGGCCTCTCAGGCTCAGTATTGGTAAACAAGCTCCCTGTGAACCTTTCAAGCTAGACCTTAGGTACTCACTCCTGGAATCCTAAAGCAACCAATCAGCTCACCATTAGGCCCCTACCTCCTGCCAATTGGTCCTTAATACTGACAAGAAAAGCAACAGCTCACAGCTAGTGTTAGCCAATCAGCTTGAACTTAGGGCTATATAAGCACCAGGTTTTTGGTCCCAGACAGGAACTTCTCTGTCCTCTCAATAAATCCTGCTTTCTCACTTAAAAAAAAAAAAAAAAAAAGCAGTGGCCAGATTTGTCTGTGAGCTATAGTTTGCAAACCTCTAGTCCACGGTAATAATTTTGTAATTAATCACATTCTAATTTACGAGATCAGTAATATTAATGTTCATTGTTAATGACTAAACTTTTAGGTAAGTTTGTTCAGATATGCATATCTTATCTTGCATGCCTACACCAAAAAAATCCTTGAAGGGACTGTCTTAAAGGAAGAGACTATCTCCTAAAACCAGATGCCTTGTATAAATTAGACACTCAGTAAATATTTTGAGGGGTTGAAATTAATGTTTTATAATTTTTTTCAGTGTTGTCCTTTGTTGAGAGGCATATCCTGACAAGTAAAAGATTAATTTTAAAAAATGTCTGTAGTACTTCATTAATGGAATTTGCCTAAGAGCTTAAGTGATGCCACAGCAATGTAAGAAATTGCATAATTAAAATTATAAACAGTTTCAGGTATAGATATTAGCTTTCAACAGAAAAAAATTATATTTAATGAGACACATATTCAAATTAGAAAACAAATTGGAGTAATACCAATTTACCTATGGATTTCTTGACACTAAGAAGGTAATCTTCTCTCATTTCGTCAGATAATACAAGTATGCTGTCAGTGAGGACTTTCAGATGTTGTGGAACCAAATCCAATACATGTTCTAGCCAAGAATCTTCCATTGGGGCTACATGGTCTGTATCAATTCCATGGTGAATATAATAGTAATACCTCTACAAAAAGGAGATAGGGAAAATATAGATGGGTTTAGTACTAAAAAAGTGTGTTTATCAAAAATAAAGCTACCAAGCAAAATTCAAGTTTCAGTATAGCTAAGTATTTATAAATCATAAAAAAGCACTGTGTGAAATTCATGTAGAAATTATTTAGTTCTCTTAAATTTAAAAAATACATATTTCATCAAAATTAAAGCTCTTATTGCAACTTATAACCATATTGTAAAACATCAAGTTATATTAATATGTGATTTATTTAGCAGAGTCCATGTTGAATTAGAGTACACTGTCTTGTAAGTTTTTGAAAATGTGTTTTGTTACTTTTTTAATTATTGATAATTCAAACTAGATCTTTTTTAAAAAGTAATAAACAAAGAGCAATTAATTTTATTTTATCATATTCAGCCCATGTAGCTCCTTGAAGAACTAGATCTCAAAAGTTGCAATCACTATCCCTACTCATTAATCCCAGAAATATTATACAACAGGATTAGGAAATTTCCAATTAGCCCATTAATATTCCATACTACAATTTTATAACTGCAATTACATGTGTACATAAAATAATAATTTTATAACAAGGCATTATTTCTATAATAATAGACACACAAATATATTTTTACAAAATTTCATATGTGACTTATTAGAAAAAACATAAACCTCAAAATACTTCCAAGTTAGCAATAGTAAAGTCTTTGATATTTACATTTTAAAAAATTCTTATTTATTTGTAATACTTGAAGAAATGCTATTTCTAAAGTACGTTGATATGCTTTGTAAAGTGTATATTATATAATCAAGGTAATTCCTCATAAAAGAATAAAGGCATGTAAAAGCTATACGTGACTGAAGCTTTGTAGAACTCATATTTGTTCCTCCACTCACAGGGTTTCACAAAGGAGGAGCACAGAGGAATGTCAAAAGTATAAAATTATCTTTAAGTGTTTCTTTTCTTTTCAATTATACGGACAAAAGAAATAGCTTATTACCAAGATGTCCTTTTCTATTGCAGAAGTGGTTGGTTTTAAAAACGTGCTTTCATCAGGAATAGTTGGGTCTAAACCAGCATCTTCTTGCCTAAGAAAATTATAAACATGCCATTCAAAAGTTCATAAAGGGCAGTTAAAACATAAAACAATGAATATAAACACATCAGAACTGTTTTTTATTAAATCATAAAAAAATAGATTGCTGATCATTTTATAAATAGTATACATGCTTGGTATATTATTCCTCCCCAAATACTTTCTCTTTACTCACAGAGAGACAATTACTTTGAAAGCAATTTGAAAACCTAATTCAGAGAGCACAGCCTTCTTGAGGCCCTTTAATCAATCTTCCACATTACTCAGGCTCTCTCTTCTTTTAAGTTAAGAAAAAGTGTGCTTGCATTATTCTTAAAATATGTGTGGTTATTTATAAATATGATTTTTTTTAAAAAGAGCACTAATGGAAAGTACTTTAAACACAGTCTTGCAGAAGACACAGACACACTCTTCAGAAGTCCATTTCTCAGACTTCAGACACATGCAAGTTAGCAATTACAGACAGAGGAGCTCTTATGCTCCTATGTACTTATTATTGGGTATGTGTCCATATAATACTGTAATGCTTACAATTCTAGTTCAATCCAGTCTACACCAGATATGAGCCACATTTTGTGACTTAGTCTGGGGCTACACTGTGCAGGAAGGAGCAGTTCACACCTTCAGAAATGAATTGTCATGGGATAAATTTGATCTCTTTTCACTGACTGTATCAGGCACTGGATGGCAAAGGCATCCGGGATGGACACAAGTCGGCGCTGCTGTATGGTAAGGTACTTTTTCCACCAACTGCCCTGTGAGGGGAGACTGGAGTTTACTGAGTGTCCCTGAGACACCATGCCCAGGTGGGTACCCAGAATGTGTCTTCTAACTTAATGTATTTTGCAAATTCAGGAATCCAATGTTTGATGAACTTTGTATTTACTCTTTTCAATTATATGAACAAGAGAAAAGAGTCAAGGCTTTAGGTAAGCTCTCAGTTTCATTTAACACATAGCAAGTGTTCAGTAAATGTTAAGTGAGGGAACGCAATATGGAAGGAGTAGAGGGAGAACTTCAAGGTATGTGGTAGTTGGAGAGAGAAGGGCAGATTACTCTAACTATAGATGTAATCTCATTATGCTGTTGATTGCACAAAAAGAGAAACTAATGCAACAGTAAAATGTTTCAGAAATAAGGAAATTTGGGTTCAGGTTCTGCCTCTATAAAGTGTATGGTCTTAGGCACTGGTGGAGGTTGTTTTTTATGGTAGAAATGCTCATATTGCCTACTTTGCTGAATCCTGAGAAGAAATCCTATTCTGAGCGTGGATAATGCTTGCCTAGTAGAATGCAGCAGGGCCAGGGTAGGAGAGTTCGAGGAAGGCTGGGGGTATGGGAATGGCTGTAGAGGTTGCAGTCAGAGTGAAGATCCTTTTGGCTCTAAAACTTTATGGTTCTATCATTCTAGGGCTACTGGCAAAGATTCTCCTCACTGGGAATGATCATGACAGGAGCTTTCTGTTGATCACTTATTGTGATCAGGCATCTACAGAGTCACACATATTACATCTAATCCTTACACCTGTTGCTAAAGAGGATACAATGATATTATTATCCCCACTTCACAGATGAAGAAACTAAATGTCAGACAGATTGAATAACTTCCCCTTGGCCATTCAGCTTATTAAAGTAGGAAAAAAAGGATTTACCCATCAACATGTGCCTCCAAACACGCACGCTCTTTCCCACAGAACAACACCCCATCCAGAAGTCACACAATCAATATAGCAGACACTTGGCCTGGTTTAAGAGAAAATAGGATGTGCCTTGTTTTTAAAAAATGAAAAGAACTAATATATATTTTTTCATTTTATAAAACCAATAGAGACTTTTGATTCAAGATGGTAGCAAGAGTATCCCCTTTTTAAGTTGCCCTGTGCAAAGTAAGCAAAATAACTTTAACCCATAACTGTGAAAAGATTAGAACAGTCAACAGCTGAGATGTTTCAACACATTTCTGGAACATGAAAAGAACACAGGACAGATGAAACAGAAGTAAAACACCACAGCTCATAAGTCATGCAGGAAGGAAGGCAATCTCTAGTGGGAGACCATGGGGAAAGGCTCTGGTCTCAGAGTCGGCAGGCTCCAAAGGAGAAGGTAAGCAAGAAGGTTGAAAGCAAGGAGGTTACCTAAACAGCCTTCTGCCAACAAAGAAAAATAATACATTCCCAAAGCAAAGAAAAGAACACATTCCCAAAAGGCAAAAAAATGTACCAAACATGGTCAAAGAAAAAGCGGAAAATCGGAACAGATCTGTATCAAGTAAACTAATAGAATTAATCATTAACAACTTTTCCGCAAAGAGAAATTCAGGTTCACATGGCTTCGCTAATGAGTTCTATCAAACAAGAAAGAAATAATGCCAATTCTACACACACTCATTCAGAAAATACTCCCCAGTTCATTTTGGGAGGCCAGTAGTATGACCAAATATCAAAGTCAAACATAGATATTGCAAGAAAACGATAGGCTCAAATCATTCATGAACATAGACTCAAAAATCTTTAACAAAATATTAGCAAGTCAAATTCAGCACTATGTTAAAAAGATTAGACACAATGACTAAGTGAGAGGAATGCAAGTTTACTTTAACATATAAAAAAGCAATCAGTGTGGAAGGCTGAGGTGGAAGGATCACCTGAGCCCAGGAGGCTGAGACTGCAGTGGCCGTGAGTGTTTCACTGCACTCCAAACAGGTCAACAGAGTGAATATAAATTAATAGAATAAAGGACAAAAACCAAAAGACACAGAAACAGAATTAGAAAAAAATCCAACACCTATTTTTGATCAAAAACTAGGAAAGGAAGGGAACTTCCTCAAACTGATAAAAGTATTTTTTTCCCATTTACATGTTTATTGAGTCCATGAATGTGTTCTTTTTTAATTTTTATTTTTAAAATTATATGTTGATAAGTATGGTTGTATACATTTATGGGGAACAAAGTAATATTATAATGAAGGAACACAACGTGGAATAATTAAGTTAAGCTAATTAACATATTCAGCACCTCAAATACATATCTTTTTTTGTGGTGAGAACACTTGCAATTTACTCTTAGCAATTAAAAAATGCACAACACTGTTTTATTTACCTTATTCACCACACTGTGCAATATGCCTCAAAAATTGAGACTTTGTACCCTTTCCATTCCCCTGATTCTTTCGCCTTTGGTAACCACCTAACCAGAAAGTGAAAGACCTTTATAACAAGAACTACAAAACGCTGCTCAAAGAAATCAAGGAAACACAAACAAATGGAAAAACATTCCATGCTCATGGATTGGAAGAACCAATATTATCAAGATGTCTATCCTACCCAAGGCAATCTACAGATTCAATGCAATACCCATCAAATTACCAACATCACTTCTCTCAGATCTGTAAATGACAATACAGAAATTCATATGGAAACAAAAAGAGCACAAATAGCCACAACAATCCTCAACAAAAGGAACAAAGAAGGAGGTACCACACCCCCAAACTTAAAACTTTACTACAAGGCTACAGTAACCAAAACAACCTAAAACTGGTACAAGAATAGGCACATACATCAATGGAAGAGGACAGAGATTACAGAGGCAAAACCTTAATCTCTCAACCAACTCATCTTTGACAAAGTCACCAGTAACAACTGAGGAAAAGAGACCATATTTAGCAAATGCTTCTGGAAAAACTGACTGACCACATGATAAAGAATGAAACAAGACCCTAACTATTGCCATATACAAAAGTCAATTTTAAATCGATCAAAGACCTAAAGGTAAAACCTCAAACTATAAGAATCCAAGAAGAAAATATAAGAAACACTCTTATGCACATTGGAGTAGGCAACCAATTCTTGATCAAATCCCCAAAAACAAATGCCATAAAAGCTAAGATAGATGGGTGGGACCTCATCAAACTAAAAAGGTTTTGTACAGCAAAAAAAAAAAAACCATTAGAGAGTGGGGAGACAACCCACAGAATGGGAAAAAATATTTGCTGATAATGTATCTGACAAAGGTCTAATTTCCAGATGCTACAAGGAACTCAAATGAGCTAAAAGGAAAAAAATAAACAACTCTATTAAAAAATGGGCAAAGGACATGAATAGACACTTTTCAAAACAAGAGATACAAGCAGCCTACAGATTCATGAAAAAAATGTTCAACCTCACTAATCATCAGAGAAATGCAAATCATAACCACAATAAGACACCAGCTACCTCCAGTAAGATGACCATCATTAATAAATCAAAAAACAACAGATGCTGGTGAGAGTGCAGAGAAAAGGAAACACTTCTACACTATTGGTGGCAGTGTAGACTAGTTCAACCTCTATGTAAAGCAGTGTGATGATCCCTTAAGGAACTAAAAATTGACCTTCCATAGGATCCAGCAATACTCTCCTGGGAATATACTCAGAGGAACACAAATCATTCTACCAAAAAGACACCTGCATACACATGTTTATAGCTGCACTATTCACAATAGCAAAAACATGGAAACAACCCTACTGTCCATCAAAAGTGGACTAGATTTTTAAAATGTGGTACATATACATGATAGAGTATTACATAGCCGTAAAGAACAAAATCATGGATTTCACAGCAAATTGGATGAAGTTGAAGACCATCACACTTAGTGATCTATCACAGAACTAAGGAATTGAATACCTCATGTTCTCACTCATAAGTGGGACCTGAACATTAATCATATTAGCACAAGGGAGGTATCAGTAGTCACTAGATACTTTTGGGTGGGTGCAGGGGCATGTAACAACACAAAGTGTACCTGGCCCTAAACCAGGGGAAGTGAGGAACAGTTGGAGACCCAAACTCACCTGCACACAGCCTACTTGTATAGCTAATCTTGACTTGTACCCCACAGCTCTAAAAAAAAAAAGAAAAATACCAAGAAAAAAAATGAAAGAAAAAGAAAACCCACTTAATGAAATAATAACTGAAAATCTGCCAAGTCTTGGAAGAGATACAAACATCTAGATACA